TTGATTTTTATTTAAAACTCTTTTTACGTCATCCTCACATGATCTGGCACCCGGAATGTTGCTTTTTACACCCTGTAAGAAGATGGAGCAAACCATAAGCACTGAGGAGCAATGACTCCAAGCTCAGCTCTCATCCAGAAGGATGGCAGGAGGGAAGGGGGAAGAAAGAGGCCAAAATCAGGAAAATGTGATGTGTCTGACGCGGAACACAGACTGCTTCTATGAAAATGCTGGTGAAACCAGCAGTTTTCTTATGGGATACTGAAACTCTGCCTGTCTTCCAGATATTTGCACCTGGGTGAGTATTTGGTTGGTCAGGAAAATGTGATTTTCCTCTGACTGCACATTCAGAGGACACAGAGGGCCTTGGGTGACTCTAGATGTGAGTATACATACCTTTAAAGGAATTTAATTATGTGGAAAAGCAGCGTGTGTAGCAGTCTCCTCACTCCCTAGATCTGTTCACGTCTAGGCACTTGTGTGTGGTGTACTCCAAGCAGGTTAAGACTATGTAAACACTGAGTCTTTCCAAAGCAACATCCAACTTTCCAGTTATTTCATGTGGTCTGAGCAACATCAATCTTTAAACCATGCCAGCTTTTGCATTCCTGGACCATGATGACTACAAAAAGGCTGTGCCTGGAAGAGAGTTCCACTGAAATAATGAAGGAACAATTAAATATTAAAAGAAAACAAATAATAAAGATGCTTTGAAGATTAATAGTAGTGTTTATGTGTTGACAGCTGACACCTGTAAACACTGGATGTTTTTCTTTTGTACAGTTTGATAAATACATGAACTACAAAGCACTTTCCATGTAGAAACCTGAGTGTCATTCATTGGACTACTGTTGTATTTACACTGACCGGGAATGGCGGTGTCGGACCTCACCGCATCTGCAAGAAAATCATTTTGCTTTAAACTTGAAGAAAACAAGGAGCAATCTGAAGCCATGTGTCAGTAAAACTTAAGTGGAGCAGTTGTCAAATAAAGCCAACTAGCACGTAGATGAGAGAAAAAAAATGGATTCAAGGAAGTTGTGTTTTTTTCCGGGTGCTTCTAGTCTCTTGGGACACAACTTGGAAATCTTCCTCCTCCTTGGTATTACTTTTCCATTTTGTTTAAAACCCTAGACAGTTTCTGATGTCCATGCATCAAATACAGGTTCCTGGCTGTGCAGGGGGCTGCTGCTTCCGATTTCGGACGGCGCCTGATTTCTCTTTGTAGGCAATTGGCATCTGTTGTGAAATGTCCACCAGTGCACTGGCCACTGCGAGACCTGGGCAACAGAACCAACAGTCAGGCACCAGAACAGCCACAGCAACAAACCTTCAGAAAGAGCTGAGAAAACCCCTCCGGGCCACAAATTGTGTAGAATTTTTTAATAAACTAGAAAAGTGTTGTGGCCCAAGGATTAAACTCCAGCCAATATTCTGAAAGGAGCTGAAATACTGCATGTTTAATTAGAAGCAACAGCAGGAGGAAAAGATGCAATAAGGGTGGGTATTACTGGATGTAAAACTCTCAACGTTGAAGCCTAAACCATTAATATTGAAGGTGCCTTTCTCTGCTTTAGTAGATGGACTACAATAAGCCTGAAAGCAAATGTGTGTGGAGGTTTCACTGCACTTCCCGTGAATACATCACCTCTGCAACCTCCTCATGGCAGATTAGAGAGTCTTGGAATGGTCTGGGTTGAAAAGCACCCCAAAGCCCGTCCAGTTCCACCCCCTGCCATTGGCAGGGACACCTTCCACCATCCCAGGGTGCTCCAAGCCCTGTCCAACCTGGCCTGGAAAATTCTAGAGATGGGGCGGCCACACCTGCTCTGGGCACCCCGTGCCAGGGCCCTCCTGCTCTGTTTGCAGACAAACCACATCTGGGACTTAGCTCAATCCAGCTCAGCACCAAACCATCCAATTCTAACCCTGCTAACTCTCTTTCTAAAGCCTTTACTTCACCAAGCTCACTGGGCACTGGGGAACCCCAGTTAAATCCCACACTGCCCAGGAAATGATGTCCCAGTGCCCTGAGACCAGGTTTTGGTGGGAAGGGGTTGAGAACAAGGAAACCTTAAGCTGGATGGGGCAAAGCTCTTTGTCCAGAGCTCCTAAGAGGAAGTCAGAGATGCTCTGAAATGACCTGTAGTGACAGGACAAAGGGGAATGGTTTCAAACTGACAGTGGGCAGGGTTAGATGGGATATTCTTCCCTGTGAGGGGGGAGGCCCTGGCATACCTAGCTCTGTGGCTGCCCCATCCCTGGAAGTGTCCAAGGCCAGACTGGATGGGTCTTGCAGCAACCTGGGATAGTGGAAGGTGTCCCTGCCCACAGCAGCGGATGGAACTGGATGGGCGTTAAGGCCCCTTCAAACTCAAATCTTTCCACGGTTCTGTGACTGGATGTTCCCCTGCAAATGGAGCTGGGAACAAAGTCAGATAGGCCAAGTGACAAGTTACCTTCACAGGTAACTACTGTAAACATGCCTGCACCAGATCCCTCCTTCCCCCACCCAGCTGTTAATTAAAGCATAGTCCAATATCAAAAGTTCATCCATCAATTAACCTTAGTAATTAACTCAAAGCTCCAGCTGGAAGCCAGCAGGGCCCAGACCAGGGAGCCTAAAATACCTCGAGCACATGCCAAGCTGAATTGTGGCTACAGCAGCTTCTGTGGGATCAGGAAAGGTGAGCTTATACGGCTGGGGAAGGAGTACAGAGTTAATTCCAAGCCATCAGAGACCACAGCAATCCTCACCTGACTGTCCTGGTGGTGGAATACCCCCAAGTCCTCGAGGCAGCCTCACGAACACGGAGAGAACAGCTGCTTTGTTCCCAAAGCAGGGCTCCAGCGCGATCGGCTTTGGTACAGTCTGCAGCGAGGCAAGCAGTGGGAGAAAACAAATGTTAAACAGCATGTCACACCCTCCCTCTTCCCCCAGCATCGCTCCTCCAGCTCCTCCTAGCCCCAGGGCATGAACCACCACGAACCACACTGCTGTGCTGGGCAGACTTCCAGCACACAGCCAGCAAAGCTAAAACCACTGTCAGCAACAATCAAAACACGAGTCATCACAAGAAAACACATTCACTTAATAAAAATCAGGCTATTAAAAAGTCAAGCACTACACAAGGCTTGTATTTCTCCCTAAATTCAATAACAAAGGAGCAGCTTATGTAATCAACAGGACTGAGGGTTTTGTTCCGTTGACCCCATCAGCAGCCTGTCACTGATATCAGCATGGCAATTCGATACTCCAAATTCTATTTCCAGAATTTAAGTCCATGTAGCACCTTAACAGCACTCTATGCATTAACACAGTAAAAAACATTTTCCCAAGACCAAAAATAAGTGTTCAAGGCCAGGCTGGATGGGGCTTGAAGCAACCTGTTATAGTGGAAGGTGACCTTGTCCATGGCAGGGGGATTAGATGGGCTTTAAGGACCCTCTGAATCTGTGATTCTGATTATAATAGGCAGTCAGCTTTCTCCCTGGAGGAGCAGAGGACTGGATCCCTTGCTGACCCTCAGTGTCTGTGCCCATCTTCCTCTCCCTGCACTCTTGTGAAGGTTTTACCTGAATGATCAACACCCAGCTTCAGTGTGTCATTAGAAAGCACAAACGCAATAGCCCAGCCCAGAAACTAAAGCATGTTCTCACCTGGGCCCCAAGCCCAACACAAGTACACAGGACCAGTGCTACTGTGGGATGCAATAATAGATTGGGATGCAAGTGTTCACCAATGAGTACAGGTTCAGGAGAGTTTCTTCTTTTGTTCCACATCAGCTAAAAAAGCTGAGAAACACTATTTTACCCAATACACTCAGCGCTTTCTGTTTTCTTGTTTGGTATGGACAAATTCCACTCTGGTGTTAATGAAATAATTAGATCTTTTTCCATCAGGCATCCAACTACACCACAGTACTCAAATATTCAACAGAAACTCAATGTAATGTAAGCCATGAAAAAGCCCGAACAGGAGTCAAACATGCTGTTAAATTACTGCTGCTCAATAAAATAGACAAAAGGAGACAACAGCAAGCAAAATGAAACTTAAAACTTTCCATATCTCCCATTTACTGCAGTGATTGCAGCAGCGTTTGCTGGTCTGTGCCAGGCAGATAAATACATGCTGCATGATGGAAGCTGCTGCCTGGTTTATGACAGCAGATTTATTCATTCCCCACCCCCAGCAAAGGCACCAGACTCAGAGTAAAGCTTTTCCTGAAGGAAACAAGCACACCCTGGAGCTGTATCCCAGAGACTCAACTGCCAGAGGTAACAGAGAGAGCACGGAGAAGGAACTGCAGGAACAGAGCGCATGGACCTCTGCCTTATGGGGGGAGCAAGAAACCAACACAAAGCTGGTTTTCTTTTGGAGAGACTCAAGTATCTTACTTATTCTACTGTTAATAAAACAGTTCAGCTGAATTCCAGAGCTTGGAGGATGGCACTTGGGTTACAGAGTGCAACCTGGGACAGTGGAAGCTGTCCCTGCCCATGGCAGACCATGGAGAGATGACCTTTAGAGTCCCTCCCGACCCATGAGGATGCTCAGCAGCACATTCACCACCCTCCAGCCAACCTGCAGAAACAGGGGGCTGGAAAATCCATGTCAGGGGTCACCAAATCCAGCCCTCTACTAACAGAGGCCATGGCATGTAGAGGCACAATTCTCTGCTTTAGGAGTAGTTACACTTTCAGCCTGCGACACCACCTTTGTGAGACCTTTCCAGATCCCCTGGTCTGGATCTCACCACTTTGCCACCAGAAGCTTTCTTTTAACCTCAAATTGTTCACACTTCAATTTATTCACCTGTCTCACATTCTTCTGTGCCTTAAACCTCTCCCTGGGCTTTACCCTGCTGTACGCATCTCAGCCTTCTTTTGGATCAACTAGCAGAGCAACACCCCGAATTCCCTCTCTGAACACAAGCTCTGCCTGAGTCTCCTGCACGTCATAAAAGAGAAAGAATCAGAACTCGTTCATTACATAGCTCTCAGTCACAGAGCTGAAGGGACTTGGAGAGGAATTTAGTTCATCTCTCAGCCCCTGGCAAGACCCTCTCTCCTCCTCTGCCCTTTCCAACCAATGAACCCTGAATGTGCAGCAGAAACTCTCATTGTGAGTCCCTGGGGGCACAATCTTCCCTTTCCATGGAATTTTTATTTTGGTCCTCAAGGTCACACATCTTCCTCCTCTCTGCTCCCCGGGTTCCACACCACAGATAGCTGGGGATAGGATGTAGCCCTGAGCCTCCCTCCTTCCACTGTCAACCTGCCCAGAAAACAATCAGAATCATGGAAAGTTTTGGGTTGGAAAGGACCTTAAAGTTCATCTCATGCCCTTCATGGAGCAAGGACACCTCCCACTGTCCCAGGCTGCTCCAGCCTGGCCTTGGGCACTGCCAGGGATCCAGGGGCAGTCACAGCTGCCCTGGGCACCTGTGCCAGGGCCTGCCACCCTCCCAGGGAACAATTCCTACCCAATATCCCATCCATCCCTGTCTTCTGGCAGTGGGAAGCCATTCCCTGTGTCCTGTCACTCCAGGCCCTTGTAAAATCTCTCTCCATCTTTCCTGATGGGCCCTTCAGGTACTGAAAGGCTACAATTAGGCCAACCCAAAACCTTTTATTTTCCAGGCTGAACAATCCCAAAAAAGATGAGGGTTAGTAAAATATTATTAATATTTCCCTACATGGGGAACCTTATTTCTCTCAAACATGCACAGCAAGGATAATGATGCACCCAAAATCTGTCAGGCAGTTGCAAACTAATTTGGAAGGAATTAAGCACGACATCACTTTGCTGCAGCTAAGCTCCATCTTAAAACTAAAAGGGGAAAAATTGCCTATTGTCCATTAAATCCAGCTTTTCCTGAGACAAGCTGCAGTTAATAACAACAAAAACTCGCCTAAAGAATCAAGTCCTGCACATTTATTTTTGACAGCCCCAGTTCAGGCACCTGTTTCCTCAACTGTGACTCATTGTACATCTCGTCTCTGAACGCTGCTCACCGGGCGGGAGACAGAGCAGGGAGGGAATGACTCAGAGCGAGTGAGGGATGAGGAATTTGGAATTGGAGCAGGCAGGTCAAGAGTGAGCTGAGTGACAGGCTGAGGAATTTGGAATTGGAGCAGGAAGGTCACGGGAGGAAAGGACCCGCTGCGCCCTCTGCAAGGCAGAAGCAGCACTGGAGCCAGGGACCAGGTTCTGCACTCAGGGAGGAAAATGTGAGATTTCAACTGCAGCTTCATTGCGACCTGGACTGCAGAGCTGGCCCAGCACCAGCCCTGCCCTTCTTGTCACCTGATGTGACCTAGGTAGGTGCCACCAGGACACAAAGGCTCTCAGGAGGAGCTGGCTGGCTTCATCAAGTGGAATTTTGGTGGGGAGACCTCAGAAGAGCTCAGGTCTCCTTTCTTTGCCCATTCAAGTGGCTTCTGAGAGCTCTTATCATAGAATTATTGAATCCCTGGGTTGAATGGGACCACAGGGATCGCCCAGCCCAGCCCCTGTCCCTGCCCAGACCCCCAAAATCCCACCCTGGGCATCCCTGGAGCACTGTCCAAAGGCTCCTGGAGCTCTGGCAGCCCCGGGGCTGTGCCCATGCCCTGAGAAACCTGGGCAGTGCCAGCACCCTCTAGGGGAAGAGCCTTTCCTGATCTCCACCTAAACCTCTCCTGACACAGCTCCATATCCCCTTTTGCTGCAGATTCAAGCCGTTTTTGTGCAAGAAGGTTTTGAGTGGACTTAGAAAGCAGAGATCAGATGTGAGAGATGGCTCTTAAGCGTAATCTTTAAAAAGATACATAAAATAGGTGTATTTCCAAACTTTGTAACAACCTTTATCAGCTGCTTAAAACCTGCCTCTGCCAGCAGCTTTCATTCAGAGGTTTTGATAAACCATTGTTGAATTATAGAAGTGATTCTTTTTTACTGAAGGCTTAATGGCACAATAAAGTAGACATTATTCAAATCTATTCAAATAAGGTGCATCTCTCACACACTTGGCACAGGAGGACTGCTTTGAGAGGTGCCTGAACAGCAGAGTCCCATCGTGGGAGCAGATAGAGAACAAAGCCCTGGTGCTTGAGGGGTGGGCAAAGAGCACAGTCAATGGCCGTGGACAGACAGCTGCAACTGGCTGAGCCCCTGCCCTGAGGCACCTCTTGTCCTCACAGAAACATGGATAGCTGTGCCTCCAGCGCACTGGAGAGACAAATTTGCCGAGCTGATCTCAGAACCATGCAATGGTTTCAGTTGGAAGGGACCTTAAAACTCATCTTAAAGCCATGGGCAGAGACACCTTCCACTGTCCCAGGCTGCTCTAGCCCCAGTGTCCAGTCTGTCCTTAGGCACTGCCAGGGATCCAGGGTCAGCCACAGCTGCTCTGGGAATTCCAGCCCAGCCCTCCTCACCCTCCCAGCCAGGAATTCCTTGCCAAGATCCCAGCCCAAACTCCCCTTTCCCAGTGGGAGCCATTCCCTGGATCCTGTCCCTCTGTCCCTTGTCCCCAGTCCCTCTCCTGCTCTCCTGGAGCCCCTTCAGGGACTCTGAGCATTCCCTGGATTTTTCCCTTCTCCAGGGGAACATTCCCAGCTCTCCCAGGCTGTCTCCAGAGCCCCTCCACGGACTCTGAGGATTCCCTGGAATTTTCCCTTCTCCAGGGGAACGTTCCCAGCTCTCCCAGCCTGGCTCCAGAGCAGAGGGGCTCCAGCCCTGGAGCAGCTCCAGGGTCTCCTCTGGGCTCTCTCCAGCAGCTCCACGTCCTCCTGCTGTTGGCCCCAGGGCTGGGGCAGCTCTGCAGGTGGGCTCTCACCTGAGGGGCACAGGGACAGAGCCTCCCTCCCCTGCACTGAACAACCTGAACCCTTCCCTGCAAGGGGCTTTCCTTGCTCCTCCACAGCAAAGCAACAATCAATGGACATGATGGGGAAATCCCCAAGAACTTCCAAGAATCAGAAGGGTACAAATGCCAAGTAAACAGCAGAAAGCCAACCAAGCCCTGCTAGCCTGGAACCCTGTCTGGGTGGCAGGAGGCAGCTCAGGGTGCTGTACAGGTGGTGACACAGCCCCGTGTCCCCAGAGGCAGTGAAAGCTGCTGTCAGCTGGTTTCCACAGATGATTTTACTGGCCCAAACCAGCACTAAAAGCCAAACAATTCCTGGTGTTTCTGAGTTTTGATGTGCATTTAGCACGCACAAAGTGTAAACCATTATAGACATCAAAAGCAATAAGAGACAGATTAGGTGATTTCATTAGTCCAGCTTCTCCAGCAGGATTTTCCACATGAACAGGGCATTTCCCAGGAATCTGGGCTATTTCTAGGTGACCCAGATGTGGAATACACCACCAGTTCCCCTGGGAGTTGATTTCACAGACAAATAATTTCCCCAAGTAGGCTGAATTGTGTGATGCCCAACCGAAACATTTTTATTTCATCTCATTATTTCTATTTATGCTACTTTTACTTGACAAATTCAAAAAGTTAATAATGTGTCACATAAAACTAATGGCCAGAACAATAAATATGCTGTATAATTTCACAAACACAGCATCAGTTTTATTTAGGTTCTGTGATACACTGCCAGCATATTGCATTTCAAGATGTATTAAAAAAAATACTATGGAGAATTTTTTTTTTCCTTAACAAGAAAACATGTTTCTGTGGTTTGATCAAATAAGTCCTACATGGTTTTCAATTTCCAGGAAGGAAATTAAAATAAAGAAAAAATCTTATGGTGGTGAATGAGAAAAGGAACATTACCCAAACAGTTCAGTTTTATTACTTGATTACACTTGTTCAGGTGATTTCACTCTGTAGAAAAAGGGTCAAATTCCATTTGCAAGTTTTTAAATCATGCCATTAAAATCTGAATGAACATTTGCAAAACAAGTAACAAGCAATTTCCTATTAAAAACAGATTATTAAGCTTTAAAAATTATATTCTCAGGGTAGTATGTGTGTCCTGCAAGATAGAGATGAATTAACTTGTAGCAATAATTCACAGTAAATGACTTTAGATTAAAAATTTACATTTACCTTGTCCCTGACAGCTACCTTGGAATTTTAGAGGGGCTGGGGAATGGACTGACTTGGTCCCAGAACTGAATTGCTGCACTAACAAAAATCACATTCAAAGCCTCAGCTGGATGTTAGCAGCCTGCAGTGGAGAACACAGATCTGAGCAGCCTGGATCTGGAGCTCCTGGGGCCCCAGGTCTGCTCCCCCTTATTTAACAACTGCCCTGTGCTGCCAAGGACTCCTGGGAGCCCAGCAGCACCCAGCCATCAGCTGAGGCTGAAGGGGAGGGATTTGTCAGTTGAATTTGGATCCCCAAGGCAGCTCCCCTGAAATGACCAAATCTCATGTCACTGTTTGAGCCTGGCCACGCACAGATCCCCCACCCTTCTCCTTCACTTCCCACACTCATCCTTCTCCTTCACTTCCCACACTCATCCTTCTTCACTTCCCAGCCACATCCCAGGGAGGGATGTATGAGGAAATGGGGAGCAAATCTGGGGGATATGTGTGTATATATATGGGCAGTGGTGGGTATTTATTTTGGTTTTGTACAGGTGAAGAGGCAGGACTTTACAGTTCTTTTCAAGCACTCAGCTGGTTTTTGCACAGGAAAACAGAGGAGTAAAAAAAAACCAATGAAATGGGACAGCTGGATGAAGATTGCAAACACAACACACAAAACAACTACTTGGCATAAATGAATGCAAATAAGTCCTCGATAATGCTGTTGAGAAGCTCCTGGTGTTATTAGTACTTCAATCAGAGAGATGCTCGTTAGAGGGAAAAAAGGAACTTAGAAAATCCTTCTCCTGTGGGAAGCTTCATGCTCCTTCCTCTCCTTCCAGCAAATTCCTCCTTATCAGCTAAAATCAGGGTCCAACCTGTGGAAATGTTTACAGTCTTCAAACCTAAAACTAGTTAAAATCACTTATCAGCCAAATGTTCCCTAAATACAAAGCAGGCTTAACAGATATGTCTGCTGATCTCATGACAGCTCCCTTCCAAATATCTATATTCAGTATTATGGGAGTAGAAAAAGTTTCCCCTCATTTTTTTTTCCTTAATTTTGCAATAGAAATCAAAACAAGATAATGGGCACTTGTTTACTGGAAATAATTCATTAGGTGAAGGTTTTAGCAGGTATTTTTGTTGATGTTTTGGTAGGAGGGATCACAGCCAGCCTCTGCGGCGTTCTAGTGCACATAATCTGTTTTACACACCTCAGCTGCCCAGCGAACGCTCCCTTCCTACCACTGGCATTCCTTCAAAGGGGATCCCACACTTTTCCATGTCCTCAAAGCAGGCCAGCATAAGAAGAATAAACACCAAATAGAAAGCACAAGCTGGGGTGTCATCCCTGTGTATTCCTTTGTCACCTCGATGCTCCAGGAGGGAGCCTAAAGAGTGGAAGTGGTTTTGCTGAAGACAGAGACAGCTACACACATACAGCCTTGGAATTCCTCTGTGTTAACGTATGGAAAAGCTCCTAGAACCAGTAACTGCCAGAAAGCCCAGAAATAAGACTTTAGAAATTAAACTGCCTTTCCAAAGGCAAGCTGAGAAACCCAGAGCCTACCTTAGTAAAGTCAGGCAGAGCCACACTGGACTTGCTGGTCTCAAAGGCTGCATGTGATCCATCTCCAGCAACTGCCGCAGCAGGTCAAGATTATTCCATTTATTTCCCCCCATCCCTCAATTTCATCCCCTTCCTGCAACTGTTATCCTTCTGAGAATAGGAATGACTCTCAGCCTGTTTGTATCACCCTTGAAAAACCCTAAGCTGCTCTGTCCCCCTCTAAGACATCTTGATCAGACAAGAGGAAAGTGGTTCAAGTTGTGCCTCGGGAGGTTTAGACTGGATATTAGGGAAAATTTCCTCAAGCAAAGAGTTGTGAAGCAGTGCACAGGCTGCCCAGGCAAATGGGCATCACCATCTGTGGAAATGTTTGATAACCTTGTGGATGTGGCACTTGGAGACAGTTTAATGGTGAACACAGTTGTGGTGCTGTGTCCATGAATGCACGTGGTGATTTAAAGGCCTTTTCCAGCCTCACCAATTCCATGATTTGACACAGGCTGGTCATTGCTGCTTGACAAGGCTTTTGTGCATCACACTTCATGCCTGGCCTCCTTCCAAATCCTCCTCTAGCAAAGAAGCCCCAGGCTCAGCTCGCTGGAGCTGTCCTTGCCACGCTTACACGAACCCAGCTCACTGAAGGTGAGTAGGTTGGGAGACGTCACAAAAGCTGGTCCATCAGCAAATCTGATGGACCAAAAGCAGGTCAGCAACATGTGAAGTAAAGGGGAAAGTGAGTCATCAGGAGTGACAACCAGAACAGGATAAAAGCTGTAAAAAACATCAGTTCCTTGGCCTTTAGTTCTTTGCTGAACTCCAGCTGTATGAAACAGCCCAAAAGCAAGCTCCATGTCAAAATCAACATGAATTCACCCTGCAGAAGTGCTGGAGCTGGCAGATGCTTCATTTCAAATCATTCTTCACCCCGCAGCTTGCCCAAACCCTGCACCCTGTGGCACAGGACTTACTACTCATTTCTCTGCTCCTTTACTGCTGGTTGCAACTTCATTGCAATATAAAAGGAATTTAACAAGGATATCACTCAGATGCAAAATACAAATAGACTGAAAATAAATTAATTAATCTGTGGTACCCCCTACCCACTCCTAAATCAGCTCATCACTTTAGCTCTGCACTTCACAAACAGATGGGATCTTCTGGCAGCCTTTAAACCACTCAAAAGCACTTTCTCCCACAACAAAGCAAATAATTACTAGAATAAGATGCTATTTCCCATCTATTTATCTGCTATTTTTAAAGAATCAGTTTGCAGTCTGATTCAGGATTTGCAGTGAAGCCCTCAAGCAGAAGAATTAAATGCACATTGGTACAATGGTACAGAACACACTAAATGAACTTCATAAGGATTTT